GTGTTGTGCATTCTTAAGAAATAAGTATCCACTGGGTTATCTTTGATTATCCACTGGGTTATTTGCCATGAAACTATGAACCCCCACTATTTTTAGACGACAAAGAAGAAAAAAAAAAAAAACTTAACACTTATTCCCGAATATTTCAATCCCCTTATTTGAGCCTGAAAGGGTTGGAAATACTCTTCCCTAACTAATTGAAAAAACTTAACATTTACAGACAAATTTATAACATACAAACTTCACTCACTTAAGTTATCTAAGTTATAAACCAATCCTGTAAGATTAGGTGGTGTTTTTAATTCAAATTAACACAGTGATTAACAGAGAATTTAAAAATGGTTTTCTTGACTCCTCTTTCAGTACTCTTTTCCTTGGACAACACTGTCTTCAACTATCCTCCAGGGATAGCAGTTAAAACTCAAGGAGTTGACACTCAGAAATTAAAGAAGAAATAAGCTTCTAGAGAGAATTCTTAACTCCTACAGGTCTAGTCCAATGTCCCTGTCCAATCTGGTCATTTCAGAAAAGAGCTACAGATTTTTTTTTTTTTTTTTTTTTTTTTTTTACCATGGGCCAGGATAGTCCCATTTATCAAAAACAGAGTTTAACAAAACTGTCTTTGGGACTCACAAACCGGTTGTTCAACAGCCATCTACAGAAATACTTGCTATCCAGGGCTCCTCGGTGGCTCAGTTGGTTAAGTGTCAGTCTCTTGATTTCGGCTCAGGTTATGATCTCATGGTTCCTGAGATAGAGCCCCATGTCAGACTCCACACTGACAGCATGAGCCTGTTTGGGATTCTCTCTCTCCTTCTCTCTGCCCCTCCCCTGTTCATACTCTCTCTTTTTCTCTAAACAAACAAACAAACTTTAAAAAAAGAAATATTTGTTATCAGAGGATATACAATACCTATGGAAATTCAAAGGAGGGATAAGGAGGAAGACAAGAAAGAAAGGCCCTCTAGATAGAGGTATAGTATGAAAAAAGTATGTACATTTGGGGAAGAGTATCTTATTTGGTATTATTGGAATGAAGTTAGAAGTGTAGGTGGGAACAAGATCCTGATGGGGCTTAAATATCATGATAAAGAATTTGAACATTATCCTAAAGGCATGGGCAACCAATGAAGAAATTTGAAATTATTTAACTTGCATTTTAGAAAAGTCTGTGTCATGGCAGTGGACAGAATGGATTTAGCAGGGATACAAGAATAGAGGTGGGAAAAACAGCTCCGAAGTTATTAAAATCATTCAGATTTTCTTTTCTTTCTTTCTTTTTTTTTTTTTTTAGTGGTGTGAAACTCGAGTATGTACAGGAAGAAATGGAAAGGCAAGGACTGAGTTTGAAAGATGTTTAGGAGATTGAATTAAAAAGATTTCATGATAGATGAAGAAGCAGGGATTGAAAAGACAAAAGTCAATGATGACTCTCAAGTTTCTGATTTCACTGATTGGAGTCACGCATTCACTCCAGAGGAACAGACTGGAGAGGAAGATGAAGATTAAGCATGCAGTTTGTGCATCATCAGATGGGGGTGTTCAGATGACCTGTGGATATACAGGTCTGGACTTCTAGAGGGAGGTCAAGGACTTAAGAATTGGAAAGTCCTCAGGATGTAGTCAGTGGTTGAAGCCAAAGGCAAAGATGTCACTACACACCAGGATGGGGTAGGAGTGATGAAACCCTGGGACATGCCAACATCTGGGTCAGGCAGAAGACCTAGAAACCAAGGACAGAGGGAGGTCATCAAGGGAGAGCTAAAAGGTGATCATTTAGCCCCAGAAAGTCGCTGCTAAACTTTAACAGGTCCCTCTGCAATTGTGTTTGGTTAAATGTGAGAGGGAACAGTAGAAATGACATTTGTTTTTCTGGGAAGCAGGTCACTTTTTTTTTTTTTTTTTTTTTTTTTTTTTTTTTAATAGAGGCAAAGTCTTTCAATTGTTTAGACACAGAAACTTCTCTTCACATCTCACTATGTAAGTCAGGGAGTCAGAGGCAGGGAACAGGACTCTTTGGTCTAACCTAGACCATCCTTTCATCTCTTTGAGTTTCAAATATTTCCCATGATTAAATTTTTCTTTCCTACATGCTCCATTATGAATGCTCACTTAAAAAACAAACAAACAAACAAACAAAAAAAAACATACCCACATGCAAGCTGAAGGATCTATATGGTCCTGTCTAGAGATGGTGTTACAGTCAAAGAAACAAAGTCCAACAACCATAAATATCTTAAGAGTAATTCCAATTATTATTTAAAGAGCATGAAAGGGAACTGAGTTCAACCTCCTTAATGCTTTTCCAACCTTACTTTCTGGCACCTCAGCAGCTGCATCAGAGCCTCACAGTCTTAAACCTGCAATTTCCTCTTGCACCTCCAGAGCTTCCAAAGCCCCAGAATCTGTTTTTCTCCCCTGTCCCTATAGTCTCCTTCATCCTATAAACTAGCTTAAAAGGCAAAACTCCCATCATAAAGAGAGAAGGAGAGGGAGAAAGAGAGTAACTGAACAAGCAAAGATTATGTTCCTGCAAAGCCATCATTACGAGTTCAGAAAAGGCTGGGAAATGCTTGTTTTAATACATTTTGTCCCAGCTTCATGTAGCATTTTAAACTTCTCCAAACACACTGCTGTTTGTGCTCTCATGTGCATTTCATACTACTACTTCTATGAGACTGATTGGACTGATTTCAATATCTCTACTTTGAGATGAGAAGACAGGCACTGAGATACCCAAACCCCTGCTACCCAGTCATACCAAAGCCAAACTGAACCTTCAGCAAGGTATCCTGTCTCCTGTCCAGAAGCGTCACCACCGCCACCTTGCTCCTTACCCAAGCTCATGTGGCTCAGCCTCAGCAGATGCTCCCAACTGTGCTGTGGCCAATGAGAATGAATATGAGGGTACAGAATCATTTATGAAATCTGGCATCTTAAGGGTACTCCATTGTAAGGGAGGAAAAATAATTCTCCCTTTACCTTTCTTAGTTCTTAGCTGAAACCCCTATAGTGAAAGACAGATTAAAAAGAAAAACAGAATTTTATTAACTTGTATTCCTCATGTATACAAGGGAGCTACCCAGGGAAAGATGAATAACTCAAAGAAGTAGCTTAGAATTCAGGCTTACATACCTTCCTATTAGGGAAAGGGTAGATTTCTTAGGAAAGACTAAATGATTTTTAAGAAAGATGAATGGGCTTTAGAGAAACAAATGGATGGTGCACACGTGGTTTGTGATAACGTGTGTCTGGGTGTGGTATTGGCTTCCAGTGTCCTCTCCTGTGCTAAGACTCAATCCTAGCTGATTGCTAACACCCTGGGGGAGAAGATCTATTGAGCTCCTTTTGGAGGATCTGTCTTTAGTCAGATAAGGGGAGTTCAGAGAAAGCCTCTCTTCATTTGATGCATTTCAAGTGCCTATAGCTCAAAATGCCAAATCAATAACATCCATAATCAATATGCCAGAGGGCATCTGTTGTGATGAGCACTGGGTGTTGTATGTAAGTGATGAATCACTCAAGTCTACACCTGAAACTTATACTGTATGTTAACAAACTGGAATTTAAAGAAAAACTTAAAGTCAATATGCTAAAGTGGAATACTTTTAAGTCGCATATTCTGCTACCCTCACCATGCATAAATAAAGGAACTTAAATCCATGGAAGAAGAGGGGGTGGAGAAATGAACTCCATTTTCTCAAATTTCACTACAGCTGTAGTCTAGGTACCGCCTGTGGATCCAACCAGTGACCTTAAACATCACATCATTTCTTTTATGCTTGAATTTTGCATGCCTACAATTTGGGTTGAAATACCACCATTTTATGCCACCTGCCTAACAGCTCTTTCCCAACCCCATCATTTGCCAGATGCACAAAATTTGGAAGGAAATGCTAGAAACCTAACCTCCCACTACTTCAAAGACTTGAAAAAAAAAAAAAACACCCTAATTTTTCATGGAAGAAAATCGTGTATCTAACATCAGATAGTAGACTCTACATTATTGTGCTCAGATAAAAGGAGAGAATAGATAGCAATTTTAGCACGGCAGTTCTTCAAATGATCCTTGGGCAACAACCCGGTCTCCTTCACTGCCGGCCCAGTCAGGGACTTAAGCACAAAATGATTCTTGAAGCCCTGTGTATTCTGCACATCTTCGGGAAACATCACTGCAAAATTTAAAAAAAAACAAAATACTATTGGCAGCAGGTGCATGCTAAGAATGTAAGTAGTGCTGTTAATTTCCTCTAATTAATTAATTACAGTAATGCCCTGATCTGCAGGGAATTTCCCTAGAAAGAAATGGAATCGTAGAAGGCGGCTATAATGCTGCTTCATCACTCACGCTGGAGGAAGTTCAGCCCAGAAGGGCAGCTCAGGGAAATCCAGGGCTGGGGAGAAGGTTGAGGGCGACCCCTCAGGAGGGTTCGGCCTCACGGTGGTTCTCAGCAAACCTCAGAACATCTGGAGGGCTTGCTAGACCACACACTGCGGGGCCCTCCCCTCAGAGTTTCTGACTGGTTTCTAAGTAGGTCCCTGATGACGCTGCCGCTGGTCCAGGCACCACACTTTAGCACTGTGGTCTAGACCAATCGACGCACAGAGTGGGAAGCAGTGAGCTCTGGAAATCAGCCAGACCTGGGTGTAGTTCAGCTAACGCATTGCAAGACCCTGTGGAGGTGCCCTCCCCACTCTGAGACACGCGGCTCATCTGTGGATGGGTGACAGCAACGGCCCACAGGGCTGCTGTGCAGAAGCAGGCCATGCGGTCTGACAGAACGTGTGTCCTCAGCAGGCTCATTCAGACATGGTGAATAGCAGCAGCACAAGCAGCAGCAAGGGCGCATCTTGCCTGGCAAGGTTTCATCTGTACAAACACCAGGAAGAGATACAAGTTTACTCTGGTGGCGTCCCCCCCACCCCCCCCCCCCCCCCCAAACACACAATGTTGGCTCCACTTTAAAACCAAACCAAAAAAAAAAAAAAAAAAAAAAAAAAAACCCCCGTTCTTACGGAAAGACCAGAATCAGAAAGAACAAAACCGACATATGATGACAATAACTGACAGCTGAGGAGCACCCTCCAAGACGCCAGGCGACACACCAAGAGACGTAGCACGTTTTCATTTAAACCTCATCACAACCACCGGAGGTAAGACGCAGCATCACCGTCCCCACGCCAAGGGAACTGAGGGGAAATTGGGTCTCAAATACAGTTCATAACTCGCCCAGTGTTAGCAGAACAGGGCAGTAAAGGGGAGAACAGGGATTTGAACTGAGATTGGTCTAACCGCTGAGCTCAGGTGCTTGCCACTGTGCTGGGCTTACGTATGACAGTGACAGTGATATTTGGCCTTTGCTCAGTGCTCTCCAGCTTACACAACACCTTCCTCTCCATTGCAGAGGGTGTCCTCCCACCACCCTGTGAGAGAAGCAAGGTGAGCCTTCCTCTGTCCGTTTTACAGACTTGGGGACATATTAGGTGGCACAAGTGGGGCTCAGAGCTACATGTTCTGACACTCAGTGTGCCGTCTTGTCATTACACACAGACAGGTCTTGCTGCAATTATTTACTATGAATCTGCCTTTTCAGGAAGGAGCAGAGAGCTGGTCCTAAGCATAGGTGGAGAAGGCTGGCCACTGCCTCCGCAGAGTGAAAGACTATCTGGGGATCCAGCTTTAGCAACCGGGCCATGAGAAAGCTGGACCCGAAATAAGCAACGGTGGGTTTGATTTCTGACTTTTGCTACTGACTTGCTGTGTGCCCATGAAGAGATCATTTAATATCTGAGTAAAAGCCTCAGTAGCTCAGTGATTAATTATGGGAGTAAGAAAAGATGTAAGAAGAAACGAAACTTGCAGAAAGAGTCTAAGATGAAACCCCATTAACCACCCACTCCCCATACCAATGTAAGGATCTACTCACATGTGTTACAACAGAGGGTGGCATTTCCTATTCCCTTAGATCGGGTATAGATTAAAAAATGATACAGCTTAAAAAGACAAATATCATATGACTTCACTCACATGTGGAATTTAAGACACAAAAATGAGCAAAGGGAAAATGAGAGAGAGAGAGAGAGAGAGAGAGAGAGAGAGAGAGAGAGAGAGAAATCTAGAAACAGATTCTTAACTATAGAGAACAAACTGACGGGGACCAGAGGGGAGGTGGGTGGCGGAAGGGGTTAAATAGGTGATGGGGATTAAGGAGGGTACTTGTGATGAGCACTGGGTGATGTAGCTAAGTATAGAATCACTATACTGTGCACCTGAAACTAATATAACACTGCATGTTTACTAACTGGAACTAAAATTAAAACTTAAAGAAAAAAGAAAAGATACAGCTCGAAAGTAGTAACGGTTATTAAAAGGAGGAATAGAAAAACATTTATGAGGATCTGCTGTGTACCAGATACTCTGATATGCTGCTTTAAATACATTTTTATATTTAATTTCATCCTCTTAAAGCACGGTGGGGCTGGTATAAAAGGTCTGATCTTCCACTTGAACTTAGAGAAATCAAGTTACCCAGCTAGACACAAACTGAGAGCTGTCTGCCTCCAAAGCCGTCTCCAAGGTTGGGAGCAAAAGGAGTCTGGCATTCATCTGGCCAGTGACATGCTGCTGCCTCAGCCTGTCACCAGAATCCACTGTGTACATCTCTTCCTCAATTTTGCCTTCAGTGATCTCACATTGATAGCCTGAAACAGTCCTGGTGGCAGTATTTACACCATGGAAATCAGCAAATGTTACAAAGCAAGGGCTTCCCCCCTTGCCCCCAAGAAAGTTTACCAGCACAACTGCCCTACCTGATTTCTCATCTCTGAACTAGGAAAGCAAGGTATATATTTCTTTTTCAGTCCAGGTTGGTCCCTTACCAGGCAATAGAGAAGTTACTAGGGACTAAACCACTACTTAATATTTCTGGGAGGAGAACTAAAGTTGTTTTGATCAGAAATTGTCTTGACTTCAAAAGAGACTTTATTCCTTCTCCTTCTTCATTCAGTGATTGGTGTTCATTATCCTCAGAGCCCATGCAAAGCACTGCGTGTTCAGGGGATACTGATCCATGGGTTCCATTCGGCCTCTTCAGATCCTACACTGAGAGCAGAACATCAGCTCCAGAACATAAACGCATCAGCAGTGTTCTCTTCTATATCCCAGTCTTAGACTCAATAAAGTCAGTCCATGAAAATGTCAAACCGCAAAGACAAAAAAGGGGAATCTTCACTTAATCTCCAGGATGTGCCTTTCTAGGGATTGTAAAGAGCCTCCAGTCTCTGGCTTCATGAAAACAAAGCGGTCTTTTCAATGTTGACACTAAAAGACTTTATGTTTCATTTTGCGGTTGGAAGCAGGAAAATTCCTAGGAGGCTGGTCCATCTCCTTCTCCTTAGGGCTCCATTTTCCTCTCGGTAGGATGATTAAACTAATCAAAAGAGGCCTTTACTTTTTCTTGCCTTTAAATTGCCCTTCACACTCTGCATGCTGTCTGGTGCTCATTAGGAGCTTCCTATCTGATGCTACTTTCCTAGATCTTCACAGAGACTAGGATACAAGAAATTCTGCTAACAGCCTCTTTTGCAATTCCACAAGAGCAAAAAATAACTGCCTTTTATGTTTCTTTATTTGATTAAAAAAATAAAAATAAAAATTTAAAACAACAGCAACAAAAACTTGCCTATTGTCTGTTTCAACTTCGAGGAGAAGGCTTCTTATTCTGGTGAAGAGTCCCTTCTTCTTCCTCTCTTGTTACTCTTTTCAAGGATCACTTGTTTTTTTTCTGCTCATTACTTAGCTCTACACTCACTCTGTAGTCTTGAAATCCCATTGTCTTGCCAAGGAAACAATCCGTCATAGCTCACATTCTGAGTAGCCTGGGTGGCTGCATTGCTGGGAAATAGAAAAAACTTGACCGTGAACTGAGCCTGGGGACTAACACCAACCACCAGAATCCTCAGGCTCCCACAAAGAGACAGAAGCTCTTCAACTGAGATATGAACCCCACCTGGTGTTTGAGTACTTCGTTTTTTAAATTTTTTTTCAACGTTTTTTATTTATTTTTGGGACAGAGAGAAACAGAGCATGAACGGGGGAGGGGCAGAGAGAGAGGGAGATACAGCATCGGAAACAGGCTCCAAGCTCCAAGCCATCAGCCCAGAGCCTGACGCGGGGCTCGAACTCACGGACCGCGAGATCGTGACCTGGCTGAAGTCGGACGCTTAACCGACTGCGCCACCCAGGCGCCCCGAGTACTTCGTTTTGTAAATGAAAAATAAATGAAATATTCACTTAGGAAATAGAGCCTAATTTTAATTTCCTAGTCTAAACTATCAATGAAAATTTGCTTTTCATTAATTAAACAAAAAAACTTTTTTTTTGAGGGAAAAAAATTCTCATGAATTGCTAGAAGACACAGAAGATAAACAGCTAAAAAATGAGAAAGAATTACCCCAGCCCCTAAATAAATAAACAAACAAACAAAAACAGAATCACTGTGGCTGGGACCCAGGCATCTTTTTTTTTAATTCACCAAGGCTATAAGTCTGGGTTCTCTGGAGAAACACAAATAGAATAAATATCCTATTTTCTCTATATAGATATCTGCACAGAGAGATATCTACATAGATGTGTCAACAGAGATCTAGGTATATTTATTTTAAGGAACTGGCTCATGCAGTTGTGGGGGCTGGCAAGTCTGAAATCTGTAGGATAAACTGGCAGGCTGGAAATTCAGGTAAGAATTGATGTTGCAGTCTTGAGTCCAAACTCTATAGGGCAGATCAGCAAGCTGGAAACTCAGGCAAGGTTTCTTTGTTATAGTCTTAAAGTCCCTTTTTTTTTTTTAAGTTTATTTATTTATTTTGAGAGAAAGGGGGCACATATGAGGGGCGGGGCAGCGGGAGAGAGAGAGAGAGAGAGAGAGAGAGAGAGAATCCCAAGCAGGCTCTGCACTATCAGCACTGAGCCTAATGCAGGGCTCAAACCCCAACCATGAGATCATGACCTGAGCTGAAATCAAGGGTGGGATGGCTTAAGTGACTGTGCCACCCAGGGGCTCCCCGAAGCACAATTTTTTATTCTCTGGTAAAACTGTTTTAGCTCTTAAGCCCTTCAACTGATTGGAGGAGGCCCACCCACATTTTGAGAGATAATCTTAAAGTCAACTGATTGTAAATACTAATCAATCTACAAAACACTTTCAAAGAAATATCTAGACTGGTGTTTGAACAAACAACTGGGCTCTACAGCCTAGCCAGATGGACATGAAATTAATCATCGCACCAACTGATTCTATTGTGCAGCCAAAGCTGAAGACCATTGCCTTAGAACAAAATTATTTTGAAGGTAATTATTAGGGATTTTGTGAGTGTTTAAAAACAGCTTAGGTTCCTAAGAAATTGGATACCTTGGACCATTATCCAAAATATGAGTTTGTTTCCTTGCCTTCCTTCAATTAAAATGTACTTCCTGCATATCCACCTCATAGCAGGCACTGTTCTGAGTATCCTGTGGATTATTCAGCTGTAACCTTGCCCTCAAAGAGTTAATAGCCTTGTAAGGGAAGACAAAAGCCAGCTGCTTGTGCCAGCAGCTCTTGAGAATATTCAAAGTCATTTGCCCTTCTTGTCTCTCTTGATCTTCCCCACTTGACTGCTTCCAGCCAGTTCCACTTCCCTAAATCCTACACTCATTCTCATTTCCTTCACTGACATCAGATAAGCTTCCTTCCTTCCTACCTTCTTTAAAAGATGCAGGCAAACACAACTGAAGTATCTTTACTCCAAAAATATTCAATATCTATGAATGGGAGCCATATTATTGAGTTCTCTATATTAAGATTAATTATACCTGAAGGAAAAAAAAATCAGTTGCGATATAGCTTCTGTTGACTATGATCATGCTGTTCCCAATTAGTTATCCCAATCAATTCAGACATCCCTTCTCATCTATGGATATTTTGCCACATAGGGGTGTGGATTATTTCCACTTGGTTTAGCAATATAGGAACCATTGTTCCCCAAAGAGTGATTCCTCCAAAAAGTTTTTCCACAAATCGAAATGTATAGTTCCTGGTGGATTGAGAACTGTAATTCTGAGTGGTCACTAAACTTCATTCATTCATTCTAAGCTAGGGAGATGCTGCTGAATCCCCTGTTGGTAGCAGACAGGAAATGTCTAGATTGTCTATCATCACAACTATGGCAATAGAATGGGGGAGGGGGAATCAAAACTTCAAAGTGATACACATAAAAACAAATGTATATGGGAATACTATAAACAACTCTACATACATAAATTTTATAACAAAGACAAAAAAGACCTATCATAAGTCATTCAATATGAAATAAATCATTTAATTATCCTTATAACTGGTAAAGTAATGGATTCAAAATTTTTAAAACTCCCAAAAAAGAAATCTCCAAAACAAGATGGCTTTACTGGGGAGTTCTATCCAACATTTAAAGAAGAATTAGCAATCATTCTACATAATCTCTTCCAGAAAATAGAAGAAGATGGAATACTTACCAATTCATTTTGTAAAGCTAGTACTACTCCAACACCAAAGATAGACAAAGATAGTACAATGGTATGAAAAGAGAAAACTACAAATATTTCTCATGTAAATATATTCAAAAATCCATTATAAAATATTAGCAATAAAATCATCAGTATATAAAAAAATTATACACTATGACCATATGGAGTTAATTTCAGGGATGCAGTATCCAAAAAATCAATCATGGTAATCCATCATTTGAACAGATGAAGAAAATATCATATGAGCATATTAACCGACGAAGAAAAATATGTGCCAAAGTGTCATATCCTGTCATAACAAAAGCTCTCTGAAAAATAAGGATAGAGGAAAACTTCCTCCACTTTATAAGAAGCATCTACCAAAAAACTACAGCTATAATTACACTTAATGAAAAACTGAATTATTTCTCCTAAGATTAGGAACAAAACAAGTATATCTGGTCTTGCCACTCTTATTCAGCATAGTGCTAGAAGTTCTAGCCACTGTAATTAGACAAGAAGGAAATAAAAGGCATGCAGACTGGAAAAGAAGACATTAAACTCAC